CCCATCTCGCGATATTAACGAAATCAAACGCGAAGATACGATAACGTTTTGGTGGTTTACTCGCAGAGAAGACAAAAGGCAAGTTTGAAGATAAATAGAAGATTTCCGCGGAAGAAAAGGAAGGATCGACAGAAATGGAAAATTCCCTATATATTCGGTTTCGGGCGAAATGGAAAGACGAAAACCGCCTAAGAAGGAGTATATAAGCAGGAGGCATAGGGCAGAAGCTGGGACACGATTTTCAGAGCTCTCACCACCAAAATTAGCATTTATAAAACTCGAAGATCGTTTTATAAAACTTGAGAAGTCACTTTATAAAACTCGAAGATTGTTTTATAAAACTCGAAGATCGTTTTAAAAAACTCGAGAAGCCGTTTTATAAAACTCGAAGATCGTTTTATAAAACTCGAGAAGCCGTTTTATAAAACTCGAAGATCGTTTTATAAAACTCGAAGATCGTTTTATAAAACTCGAAGATCGTTAATCAGGTTTATGACTACGGGTGGTCCGATGCTAGGGTGTTTGATGAATTCGACAGAAGTTGATCGAACTTTTGAGTTAGATATTTTACTAAGATCAGATATGCTTCCATTCTCTCGTCCCTTGCTTCGTATTCTCCGCTGAACTGGCTAGCCACTAGCTGAGAGTCGCAGTAAGCGTGAAGGTTACGAATCTTCAGACCATGACCTAATCGTAGTCCTGCGATCGAGGCCTCATACTCGGCTTCGTTGTTCGAAGCGTGGAAAATTAATCGGAACGACTGTTACAACACTTCTCCCATTGGGGATGCGAGTCTGATGCCGATCCCGGAGCCTTGTTTGGATGAGAATCCATCAACGTATAGGATCCAGGTTGAGTTCGGTTCTTGGTTGGATGCGCTTCCCGTTGGGAGTTCCACTATGAAGTCTGCGAGTACTTGCGATTTTGCACAAGTCTTTGCGCGATATTCAATATCGTACTCGCTCAGCTCGATTGCCCATTTTGCGAATCTTCCTGATTGGCTGGGACTATGCAAAATGGTGCGGAGAGGGAACGAAGTGGGCACGACAATGGTGTGAGATTGAAAGTACGGTCTCAGTTTTCTTGCTGACATGACCACGGCCAAAGCCAATTTCTCCATCATCGGATATCGCGTATCCGCGTCCAGTAGTGTCTTACTTAAATAGAAGATCGGCTTTTTTACGCCGCGTTCTTCTCGGATTAGGACACCACTCACGGCGGTCGTTGATACTGCGATATAGAGGAATAATGGTTCTCCTTTTACGGGTTTCGCGAGTACTTGTGGGGTAGCTAGGTAATGTTTCAGCTGTTGGAAAGCTTACTCGCATTCCTCGGACCATTCGAACTTTTTGTTTCCCTTTAACGTTTCGTAGAAGGGTAGACATTTGTCCGTTGATCGCGAGATAAAGCGGTTAAGTGCCGTGACTCTGCCGGTCAGTCTTTGTACTTCGCGTTTCGTTCTAGGAGAAACCATCTCTATCAGCGCTGTGATTTGTTTCGGGTTGGCCTCGATCCCGCGGTAAGTGACGAGGTATCCTAAAAATTCTCCGGAGGCGATGGCGAATCGACACTTCGCAGGGTTCAACTTCATGTTATGAAGGTTGAGCCTCTCAAAACATTCTTGGAGGTGCACGACATGATCTTGCTCTTCGAGTTATTTCACAAGCATATTGTCGATGTACACTTCCATTGTTTTTCCGAGCTGTTCGTCGAGCATGCGATTTCAAGTCGTTGATAAGTCGCACCAGCATTCTTAAGGCCGAAAGGCATCACTTTATAGCAGTAAGTTCCGCGATCAGCTTTGAATGCGGTTTTCTCCCAATCGTCAGGGTTCATCATGATCTGATTGTATCGCGAAAAGGCGTCCATGAAAGATAAGATTTTGTTTCTCAAGGTTGCCTCGACTAGGCGATCGATGTGTGGCAGCGGATAACTATCTTTAGGACACGCTTTATTGAGATCGGTGAAATCGACGCAAACTCGCCACTTTCCGTTCTTTTTCTGTACGACGATAGGATTGGAGAGCCAGTCAGGATACCGAACTTATGTGATCGACCCTACTTTGAGGAGCCTGTCGACTTCGCTGTTGACCGCTTCGGCGCGTTCTGGCCCCAGTTTTCATCTTTTTTGTTTGACGGGTTTGGATGTTAGGTCAACGTTAGTTCATGACATGTGATGTTAATGTCGATTCCTGGCATATCTTCCGCAGTCCAAGCTAACGTGTTCGAGTTTCGTTTCAGACATGTCAGGAGTTCGGCTTTTAAGGTCTCTCTTAGGTTTGCACCGATTTCGACGCAGCGCTCTGGAAAAGCCTCGTCGATGCACACTGAGACGACAGGTTCGCAGGTTGGCTCGCGTTCACCTTCCAATGCCTCGGCCGCTCGCAACTGCCAGAAGAGTTCCGTTTTATCTTACTCTAGGATGTTGTCGAGGGCCATCGATTTCTTTTTCTTTTTGGAAGAAACGTCGACCGCCAGATTTTTTCTTTTTAGATCTGCGGCATAGCAAACTTGCGAGGTTCTCCGATTTCCCCATATGGTCTCGATTCCGCACGGAGTCGGAAACTTAAGACACATGTGGTACATCGACGGAATCGCTTGCATCGAATTTAACCATGGTGTCCCTACGATCGCGTTGTAAGACATGGGTCGATCGACGACTTGGAATTAGACGTTTTTCACTATGCTTCCGGCGCGAACCGTAAGGTTGATCGTTCCGAGGGTCATGGTGACTTCTCCCGAGAGTCCTACTAGCGGGCTTGCGTTTTCCGCAATTTCAGACAGATCGATTTTCATTCTCTCGAGAGTGTTTTTGAAGATGATATCAGCCGAGCTTCCGGTATCGACTAATATCCTCGCGACATCCATATTCTGGATCGTCAGCTCGATAATGAGAAGATCGTTGAGAAGTTTGATTGAATTGATCGTTGCTCTTTTCTCGAACGAGATGATGTCGCCGTTCAGATTAGGCATGTCTTTTTTCGTTCGTTCTAGCGATTATTGTGTAAGAGAATCCGACCCCCCCCTCCTTCTAGCACCAAACTGTGGGAACCAAAATCCACACTATCAATTTTCCGTCAAATATGGAAACTTAGGGAAAACTCTAATTTTCCCGAGGTCATGGATCTCTGCGGAAATCACTAAAACGAAAAGAGTTAACAGAATATGGATAAATAACAATAACGAAGAATATATAATAGATAAAGAATTTGCGTAAGAGCTTTTATTGAATAAGAGATTGACAACTGTTACAAAATGAATCGCGGAGCTCAGACGTTGAAACGTTCTAAGGATCCGTCTTGCTAGTCTAAACACCTAAGTCCTAATTTCCTAAGCTAACAGCCGCCTCTCTAGGTCTAATTTTCGTCCCCTTCTTCTTCCCTATGCCTCTTTCTTATATACTCCCTTCCTTGGCGGTTAGGTCCTTCCATTTCGCCCAGATTCGAGTTTATCGGGAATCTTCCATTTATCTTGATCTTTCTTTTTTTCCCGCGGAAATCTTCTATTTATCTCCAAACTTGCCATTTACCTTCAAACTTGACCTTTATCTTCCTTCGGCGGATAAATCGTCAAAACGTCATTGTATCTTCGGGTTAGATTTCGTTAAGATCGCGAGATGGGCCTTTATCACGTTTTAGGACCTTCCGAGCCGTTTTGCAATAAATCAGTTTTGCGACTTTACACGAGATCGTTTCCTGATCTGAAGCCGTTTTTGATAAGTTCCTCGAGTTAATCGTAAAGTTTAGCTACATTCATTTCTCGGTTAATCGTTGCTGTTCTTATGATTCACTCGACGTTTTTATTAAAAACATGTTTTTTACGATTTTTACGAAAAATCTTGAATAAATCACATAGTTTAGGCAATGTTCGGTGCTTCGTTTAACCGTTGCCGTTTTATAAGATTTCCTCGAGTTCTTTTCGAGAAAACAAAGTTTTACGGTTTTTATCGTAAAATTCGAACGACAGGACGGATCGAAACGAAACGGAGCCTTGAATCGGGGATGTGGGAGACTGAGGCTCGGGATGGTCGGCTCGACGTACGGGGAGCCAAACCAGACCGGTTCAGCTCGCCGTTCGGCGAGCTAACAGGGAAGCTTCTAGCTCGCCGAACGGCGAGCTAGTCGGGATGGGACTAGCTCGCCGAACGGCGAGCTAGTCGGGATGGAACTAGCTCGCCGTTCGGCGAGGTAGTCGTGATGGGACTAGCTCGCCGAATGGCGAGCTAGTCGTGACGGGATTAGCTTGCGCTTTATGGCTAGCTAGTCGTCCCAGGACTAGCTTGCGTTTTATGGCGGTTTTGGTTTTTCGCGGTTTTGTGCTTAACTCGGATGATCGTGTAATCGACGTTTGTTTTATTCTTCCGAAATAACGTTTTCCGAGTTTTCCGCGGATTTCCTTTGTTCGGAAATCTATTTTGGATTTATAAAACGATTTCTCGAGTTTTATAAAATGATTTCTCGAGTTTTATAAAACGATTTCTCAAGTTTAATAAAACGATTTTTGTATTTCGTGGAAAGTAATGATTTTCTCTTTACAGAAGTTATCGTAGACGTTGATTTCGAGATTACGGTTTTTGACACCAACAGTATGGTCTTTGAGTTAGAGTAAATAGGTTTTTTAATTTTTACATTTTAATATTTCCTATCACCAAAGCAAAATTCCAAAAAGAAGCTTGTAAATTTAAATACTTGTTTGATATAAAATTAAACTCACGCATGCATAAGTATTTAGTTAAATTAACAATAGAAATTTACACATAGAGGAGGTGATTGCCCGAAAAATTAAAATTTAAATCTAAACAATATTTGATTGATTATCATTATAGTCCAACAAGAACTAACATTCGGGATTAAACCTCGGCTTTGCAAATGCAACATACCTGCACAAATAAAATTAATACTATTAAGAACTGAGATAAGTTTCGCATGCAACAAACACGATATATAACATAATATACATGCATTCATCTTTATGAAAGATCAAAGCGAGTTTTGTTCATACCTTGTCTTTTTTCAACCATTGAGAAATGCAATCCTGGTGGTATATATGTTTGCATGGCAATGTTGTTAATTGATCACCCATCACATAGTTGACTAGACATATCGAACACCTATAATTAATAATACCCAAATCAAAATTAAAATCATGGTTTAAATGATAAATTTGTATCGAATAGAAATAACCATCTGTTATATGTTAATGCGGTTTGATTTGTAATGAAGCAAATATCCAAATGACGATATAGGATTGAAGCTATAAACAAAATAAAAGATATAGACATATGATCTTACTGAGTTGTGGTGAACTTATTTTTCTTAGTTTGCCACCACCAAGTTTTGGTTTCCTCACCATATTTATGAGTCGATAATTTGGAAATCCTGCTTTGCGATAAACCTCTATCTACATCTCCCATGGAGTCTTCTAACTCATTCAATTCCTTATTATCCGAGTATGAAGAAATAGAATATAGATATCTGAGTTATCTTTTCAAGATCGTAAACCACATATATAAATATTTGGATAAAAACATCGAGCTGACATTGTACATGCCTACCTCATACGTCATATTTTCGGTATCAATGTTCTCATTCGTAGAAAGATTAAGGGCACTAATTGATGGGCTATTTGACAGGGTACGAGTATGTGTATGATGCCCCGAGAAGTGATCGTCGTCTTCAATAATTGTTCTACTAGTCTAAAATATAATCCAAAGCACAAAAATTGCAATACATGTAAGTGATTTACGTCTATAATATGTTTCTTAGTTTGTAGAAATAAAAAAATTAAAGAAAAATATGTGTAATTTTAGTGGTACCCATTAGTCTTATGAAAATAAAAACATGCATGCAAGTTGATTTNGAAGTGATCGTCGTCTTCAATAATTGTTCTACTAGTCTAAAATATAATCCAAAGCACAAAAATTGCAATACATGTAAGTGATTTACGTCTATAATATGTTTCTTAGTTTGTAGAAATAAAAAAATTAAAGAAAAATATGTGTAATTTTAGTGGTACCCATTAGTCTTATGAAAATAAAAACATGCATGCAAGTTGATTTAACTATATTTGTGAAACATATATAACTTTATGAGTAATAAAAGACTGAGAATGACACAGTATTACCGAGGGAGCATCACGTTCAGGTATGTATGAATTGTTCACTGTAGATTGAAACAAATATATAATCATAAGGTAGAACAAAGTCGTAAGAATTACTTTTAAGAAGATACAGTAAAATAATAATTCTATTTCACGTTTATGCATCTGAAAAAAAAAATAACTGGAAGTAATTTAAATTAAATTTTTAAATAGTATAATAATCAAAAACTTAAATTTCCAACTTATTTTTATTTTTTTATTTAACATATACATATACATATATGTAAGACAGTCTACAAAATTATGATACGTAATCGTAAACAGAAAAATAATTAGAAACTTACAATTCCAATTTAGTTGTATTTTTTAATCAGTACATACATATACATAGATGTAAGACAGTCTACAAAATCATGATATAAGTACCTCGTATATCTTCATCTGTGCTATTTGCCACTAGAGTTCGGGGATCAAAAAACAATGAAATGTGGTTAACCAATTTCATTTGGTAATGAGAAAATATAGTCTTCAGAGTATGAAAATTATAAAATTAAAACATCATGTGGAAAATATATACTTACATTCATCTTGTTGCTGCAAATATCTAGCAAGTTTTTCATCATCGCTTAGATAGGTATGTAGATTACCTGAAAACAAATAACAATTGATTTCTATAAGAGTTGTACTTTTGTAAAAAAATTGGAAGTACCTGGAGAATGGACTATTTTTGCAAAAGCATATGTACTACTAATTTATGCATTTATTGTTTTATGAATCACCTTTTCCTGAACTATGTTAATTAAATATATATATATATATAAGGTGTGTTTTTTTTAAACCAGAGAACATATGAACTACAAAGTCTAGACGTTTCACCAAAAGTAATTTAGCCTTAAAATAATTTTATTTTAAAACTGTTTAGTTTGATGTGTATATTATATGGAAGCATTACAAGATTATCCTCAGCACAGTTCCAAAAAAAAGATCACCCTATAAGGCTTGCAATTTTCTTGGGAATCCTTCATCATGATGTAAATATTTTTTGTAAATTTTTCAATACAATAGTGATGTTTGTATTAAATGACAAATGATGTAAATATTTTTTGTAAATTTTTCAATACAATAGTGATGTTTGTATTAAATGACAACTATTACATTAATCATATTTAAAATCATTACTTATTAGGTTTTGTTAAAAAAAAAAACAGTAAACACAAGATGCCTTTTTCAGTACAGGCACTATTATATAAGAAACAAAGTGATGGCTTAAAAGTTAAAACTATGAGCATTAAAAAAATCACAAAGCTATTTAAACCAAAATTATATATATACATAATTATGTACCTTCTTGTTGCTGAATCTCCAAAGCAATAGAAGCATCATCACATGTCGAATCATTTTGATATTGTAGTTGAATTTCCCGAGCAATAACCTCATCATTAACCGTCAGGTCTGAATCTTCTGATAAACCATATTGCAAGAACACTGCAATATTCTCATCGGTAGATGACTGGTTTACAATTCGAGACATAGATATTTTATTTTTATTTTTTAAAGAAAAAGGGTGCTTTTGACGGTGAATGATGAGATCTATAATTTCTCTTAATCAAATGATAAGTCTTCATACCATTACCTATCTCTCAATCCTTTAAATAAACACTTAAAGGAAGGTTTTTCTTGTGAGATATTATGGTAAATTATGATGGTAATTTGAAAAGTTTCTTAGTGTGTGTGTTGAATTTATTTCATTAAGTGTATTTAAATATTTTGGGACCCAAAAATCTATCTTTTCTTTAAAAAATTAAATTATAAGATGACAATCCAACTTTTAGATTTCTTTTTCACAGTATGATATGTTTCTTTCTAAGTTGTTGACGTTTATTAGTCTTTTAAACTAGATCACTAGATTTATTATAAATAGTGAACTATCCATGAAGAAATAATGGTTCTAAGATAACATTTTAATTTTTCAATTCTTTTGACTATAAATTATTCATATTTATTTCAGTGATTTAATTAGTGACATACCATTACTAAATTTAGTGACATACTTTGAAAAAAATCTAGTTATATCTACAGTTCTTAATTGTTACAAAAAAAAACAAAAAAAAATCTACAGTTCTTAATTTGACTAAATCAAGGATAAATTACTCCAAAATAAAACAAAATACATGAATGCTCCATAATCATTTTTCTTAGGTTTTTTCTCTTTAATGTTTTGTTTTATAATTATTAGATATGGACCATTGGATGCGAAAGCTATCAAAGTGATGAATCCCCCTTAACTTCAACACCTCTGTTGTTGCTTTAAACCCAAACGGTGTTATTATAGTAAGACTTAACTTTTATTAGATATGGACCACTGGATGCAGTATCAAAGTGTTTTTTTTTGTTTCAAATCAATTTGAATCTTTTTGTAACTCTTTATCATTTATCTTCGGTTTTGATTTAATAAAATCTTAAAGCTTCTACTCTGTTTCTTCATCTTAAATCCCTACTGCTTTTCTGAGCTTATATTACTTATATCGGTTATGCTTGATCTCTATCTCCAGAATATGCCAATCTTTGCTCGTAAATGCTTAACCAAAGTATTCTAATGAGATAAAGAATCGTGTTTGTCTCCATCGTTTGGTCCAGTTTAAGAAGAGTAGAAGCTTGGTTTCTATAAGAGCACCATTATCGTCCGGGAGTGTCTTAGGGGTTAATTACCCAAAAAAAGAAAAAAATGAAAAAAGAAGAAGACACGAGTCTTATTCTAGGAGAACAAGACACGTCTGTGTCATCATATGGGACGTCGGAGAAACAGTTACGCGTTAAACGCGATGAAACTTTGTTTTTTCTCTCTCTCTCTCGGATCCTCTCTTCCGATAGGTGATTTCAATCCTTCTCGGTGGCTCTGCGATTGTCGGTGTCGTCTCCTTCAGTGGCTTCTCGTCGGCAACCTCAATGGTGGTTCTCCTCGACGGCAACGGACCTTTGACTTGGTGGCTGTCCTCAAATTGAAAGGTAATCTTCTTCTTCTTGTCTTATTCGATTTTCCATGTCGTCGATTTATCATCTTCTTGTTGTGATCTGTTTTTCATGTGTTATTTGTAGGTGCTCCTCGAATCTGTCTCACGGTGGGTCTCCTCGACAGCTCGAGTCCTCCTCGATGGCGACGGCGACAGAGCTTTCCCTTGGTGGAGACAAAGCTCTCTCTCGGCAAAGGTAAAGCTTCTGTTTCATTTTATAACATTTTGGTAAATTTTAGTTTCTTTGATTTGTTATGTTCCGTCTTGAGATAGGTTGATCAAATATGATGTGTTTGCAACTTTGTTTCAATTAAGATAGAAGGAAGAAAATTGTTTTGTTTGTACGTTTGTTGAACTTGATTTGTTTCACTTAAGGTGGATGAATCAAATTCGATGTTCTGTCTTTGATAGAATCGTTTTTGATATGTTCTGAACGTGTGTTTGTTTGTATGTTTCTGTCCTTCAAATCGTTGTTCTGTTTAGTATGTTTCAATTAAGATGGATGGATCATGTGATTTGTGTCTCGGTGTTTCAAATATAAAGCAATGTTTTTTTTCTATTTGTTTATTTGCTATCTTTTAACTTTGTCTCTGTTTCTCTGCTTTGATTTGTGTCCGAGGTACCATTCCATCCACACTAGAAGACGAAGGAACCTCAATGTAGAGGAGTACAGTTGGTGGAGCAATACATTTAAATAATCTTCTTATTTTGAATTTATTGAAAGGTTTGTGGTTGAGTTAGGTAGTTAATGTTTTGCTTAGTGATAGGTTTATGGTTCTGTGATGAATGTGTGATGAAGTGTGATTAACGTGTTAGGTAACTCTGTGATCTGGTTGAGTAAAAGAATCGATAGTAATTAATGTATTGTACATAAAAGTAATGGCAAGTCATTTAGTGAGTTGGTTGTGATGAATGCATCGGAAGTGAATTTGCCCTGCCTTGTGTGATACTCCCTCCGTTTCATATTAAGTGTCGTTGTAAAGAATTTTTTGCGTTACAAAATAAGTGTCGTTTTCGATTTTCAATACTAAATTTATTAATTTTAGGTGTAATTTGTTTTTCTATTGGTTAAAATATGTTTAGGTGTATGGGTAATTGTGTTTTTATATAGGAAATATGTAAAATTAATTGTTTTCTTAATCCATGTGCACAGCTGTAGAGTGACACTTATAATGAAACAGAGGGAGTAAATAGAAGTGAACTTTGTAGATAAATGTCAAGTCATTTAGTGAGTTGGTTGTGCATCGGAAAGACCTTTGTTCTCTTCACATTCCTGTTGTCCATTTCTTTAACTTCTCTGATGTAGATAAATGTCTACTCGTTGTAATGAATGCATCTGTTTCTTCTCTTCCATAAAGCAAGCTTTCTGTTTCTTCTAATGCTTTAACGCGTATCTTCTTTTATATTTCTATCTTCTCTGCCATCTAGTAAAGACATTATTGTCTATCTTCTCTGTTGCATTTTTGGATATGGATTATAATCCATGTACGCATACACCAAGGTTTGTTAAGCTTCTAAATAGCCAACAAGACAATGTGTTTCGTTTAGTCGAAAGAAGTGTCCAACCTAGTTCGTCACAGGTTCCTGGTGCATACAAGCCTACAGAGCGTAGAGAGAGGAAGACGTTGACACCATCAGATGATATTATGCTCATCTCCGCCTGGTTAAACACCAACAAAGATCCTCTAGTTAGAAATGAGCAACGTTCAGGAGCTTTCTGGTCTAGGATTGCAACATACTACGCGACCAGCCCGAAGATTGCAGAGGCGTATAAGGGAATGTGGCAAGCAAATGGAATCAAAATTTGATGTTCTGGATTTGGAAACAATTTGGCCACCGGAGTTGGCTAGGGTTCTGGCAAAGAAGCGACTCAGTGCTCCAGTGTGACACATAGCTCTCACCTTTGTTTTGATAGGTGACACCTGGTGGACATATGGTTTGTATCTGGTCACCCTTATGGGGTTTTGGGTGGGCTTATTAGTGTATTGGTTTTAAATTTTGAATTCAATTTGTAATCTCTTTTATCCCAATGGCTTATAATACAATGTTGACAAAAAAGGACAAAAAGTGAACTATCGTCCATTTAGAATAGATTTGAAGATTATTATACACATAAATTTATTATTAACTAGGGTATGTCTGTGCTTCCCGCGAGATATGGTTTTATTGTTGTTAACTATGATTTTCTTGGATGATGTAATTATATGTTTTTCTTTTTTGTTAAAAGAATTATTAGATGTTTTTACTGTGTTATGTAGTAGTAGGTGATAAGTTAATACATTATATGTTTTTTTTTCCTATAATATGTTGTTGTGTTTATATTAGTACTTGTTATTGTGCCTTGGATGTAAAGCATATAGAATTTCAATAACTTTTCATTTAGGCATTTTATTTTATTTTAAGATTAACGCTTTCAGCGTCAAAATTGCATTTTTTTCATAATTTTGGTACATTATTCTTTTATAATGTTTTGTGCCCTCTCTCCATATTTTGACCTTGAATCGTCACCATTTTCATAGTTTGTTTACATTTCGGGGTGCAGTGCATCTCACCATCACCAGAAAAGACTCACTGATATCACTCAAATTATCCTAAGGAGTGAATTACTCTCTCAAATAAGAGGTTCAACTGTAGTACTTAGGGATCGAATCCACAAGGAGCTAAGGAATCTAATAATTTTAGTTGAATGCAACTCTAGGTGAATGTATAAATAGTGAAAACAGTAAATAAGTAATAAGGAAATATTCCAATTAAGAACGACAATTACTTAATCGAAAATGGAAATTTAGATTTTTAAAGACAAAAATGGAAAAGATGCTAGATTTAGGGTTTTTATTCAGGTTTTAAGGATTATAATTCTATAGGATGCTATCTAGTTGCTTGCGAGATACTATAGAGTATTAACTATTCTGTTGAACTATAAGTCTAATGACCAGATGGCCGCGATTGACAGTGTCGAGCGATTATCTATGGGATAGTCAACCGATACACTAACTCATCATCGACTGATTTCTGATAGCAAGATCGATCGATGACTCTGGTCAAGCAATGCACATGAGTTACTTACTAAAGATTTCTAAATCAAATTATGCAATTATATTTCTAACAAATCCTAGCTTGATAGAGATGTATTCATGATATTTAGAATCACTTAAATGTCTCTAATCTAACCTAAATAATCCAAGATTCAATGTTTCTAGTTAGCTACTCTAGAAACATGAGCAATTAAAACAATCATGTCAATAATTATCACAACTAGAAATCCTATAGTTGGGGTTAATCCCTCTAACCTATTTAAACCCTAAATCGAACAAGTAAACTACTCAGACATAGCTAAGAAATTCATAACACAAGTAAATAGATAAAACTGCATATTATAAATAATTAGATAGGTAGAAAGCACAGGAGTTCCAATCTCAAATCTCTTTGAAGATCTTCTCTACAAACTAAAAATCCTAAAACTTTTGGTTGTGAAAAGAATACAAAAAGCTCTCTAAAAATCCTCTCAGAAAACTCTCTT